CTCCAGCAGAAGCCGAGGGGCAGGGTTGTTCTGGGTTATCCCTGAGGACCAAGGGGAGACGTATCTCCCGGGATCTGGAGGATGAGCAGGGCAGCACAGGCTGCAGATAGGAAGGGAGCATCACATTGGGGTGAGAATGGTGCAAAGAGAAGGACCAGACATGTACCCATCGTGCAGAGAGAGGTAGAGAAGAGGAGTCAGAAGAGGAGGAAGAGCCTTCCCCCCTGCCCCAGCAGCACGGTGGCCGCCGCCTCAGAGCTTATTGGAAAGCCAGGTATGAGCTGGTGGTGATGGGGCAATTGCAGCCTCATGGGAAGGGGGAGGAACCGGCTCAACCTTCACGCCCAACCGAGGCCATGAATTGCCCCCCCCCCCCCCCAAGCGGCTCTCTGGTACGGCCACGGCACCTGATGCACAGAAACCAATTCTCGTAATTATCCGGCTCTTGGCAGAAATCCCTCCAAACTTAATTAGTAAAATATCAGAAATCCAAAATCACACGGCCACAATTGCCACACAACATCATATGGTTTTCATAACCAGCAATAGAAAACAAATTATTTCACAATGCCTTTTCAGCAGTTCTCATTATTGGGGGGAAACTTTAAACAATAATGGTGCATCTTTTGTCAAAATAATGGGTGTAATTAAAGTAGAGAGAGAGTTAAGTAGAAATCATCGGCCTCACAGGCGTCAGAGGGATGGGGGGGCTACATTGGGGTTCTTGGTGGTGAAAAATAATTACTGGTGAGGGGAGGGGTGTTTGATCATTGTATGATTGAGACTTACACCTGAAAACTTTGTAACTTTTCTCACAGTGATTCAATAAATAAATTTAAATTAAAAAAAAAGAAGAAGAAGAAGAGGAGGAGGAAGAGAAGCACACAAACCAACCTCAGAACCCGGCGGCTTTTGGCAGAAATGCATCTGGACTTTGCATTAAGCTGCGGCGATGTGTCCCCCCCACCCCACCCGTAGGAAAGGGCGTTGTCCCTTCTGCCTTTTCCTCCAGCGGCATGGTGGCCGCCATCTTTCAGAGGCCATTGGACAGTCAGGTACGGGCCAGCAGTGACAATACAGGCAGGGTCTCACAGGATGGCGGTGGAGCCTGCCCTTCTCCCCCGCCCTGATGAGACCCCAAGTTGCCACCCACAAATGGCTCCTCTGGCTCCTTATTGAGCTCCTTAAAGGCCATGATCCCAGAGGCACAAAAAAACGAATCTCGGAACCCAGTGGCTTTGGGCAGAAATCTCTCCAGACTTAATTACTAAAATATCAGAATTCCAAAATCATATGTTCTTCATAATCAGCAGTAGAAAACAAATTATCTAAGGATACCTTTTCGGCAGACCCGATTGTTGAGGGGAAATTCCAAATAATAATAATGGTGGGTCTTTTGTCGAAATATTGAATGTGATCAAAGTGGAGAGAGAGTAAAGTGGAAATCATCTGCCACACAGGCAGGGGGAGGATGTGGGATGGCGGGTATACTGTGGTTCTTGGTGGTGGAAAATGTGCACTGGTGAAGGGATGGGTGTTTGATCGTTGTATGACCAGGACTTAAACCCGAAAGCTTGGTAACTGTTCTCACAGTGATTCAACAACAAAACAATAAATTAATTAAAAATTGAAAAAAAGAAAAACAGATGAGGAAGACTGCACCAGAAAGCCCAAGCACCCTGCTGAGGAGCTGTCGTTCGTCTTCTGAGTGACAAGCTCCTGTCACAGGCTGGCGAGCAGATGGCTGCTCTTTGCCGCCCAAGCTTGCCCATCTACGCACACCAGCTTGTCCATCCATCACTCCCCCAAGGGGCCAGAAGCGCGTCACAAGCCGAGACGGAGCCTCACCATCCACTCATCATTCAGATGGTGGCAGAATGTCGGGAACTGAGCCACGGGGCTAGCAGAGGCCGGCTGAGCCCACGCCCTCCCCTGGGCATGGAGGAAGCTCGGGCTTGTGCTCACAGCTAACTCACGTGGTGGGAAATCAGACCCCACCAGGAGGGGAGAGCAGAGGACCCTCACAGAGAACGAAAATCAGGGGAAAGAAACGCATTCATGGAGGAGAAGCTGCCACGCTGCCCAATCGCCCCAGGGAGATTGATATTTGGGCTGAAAACTCTGAGGGGGGCGGGCAGATTTCCCCCCACCCCCGCCACCCAAATGGGCCCAGCTCCACAGCGCCTGAGCCTTACGACCACGACACCTCCAGATTTCACAGTATTCATCACCCAGTAGGAACACAGCAAATCTGATGGTAAAGTTGCATAGATGTCCACCTGGCTCAGTGAGGGATAGACGCCCACCCAGCTCAGTGAAGGATAGACGCCCACCCAGCTCAGTGAGGGATAGAAGCCCCTCCCACCTGCTCAGTGAGGGAACAGAACCCAGAGGCTCAGCCAGCACTGATCAATCAGCTCAGCCAGTGCTCAGACAAGGACTTTTGTGACAACACTCAGATATACCAATGATCACACATGGATTTATTGACCTACTTTCTGATCATTCTGTTTGCTGTTTCATTGTAACGAGCAATATGAAGTACATTTGTTTGTGTCTGCTGAGAGCTGAGGTGGTGGGTGAGAAACTGGGGAACACTGGCAGAGAGAAGGGCACACTGGTGGTGGGATTAGTGTGGGAACATTGAACACCTGAATTCTTAGAATAACTGCATTATGAGCAACTTTAAACATCACAGTGTTTCAATTTTTTAAGAAATCAATATAAACCATGAAAACAATGTCTTCATGAAAGATGAATGTCATATGTGGAAACAACACGGATGCAGGAAGCTCTCTCCGTGCTGCAGGCGGGGTTTCCGTGCGACTCCTTCAGGGGAGCACACACATGTGCCACCTCCAGGGAGCGTCCCCACGGCACAGGGCAAGCCCCCTGAGCACTGGTCACAAACACTGCCTGAAGGCCAAGGGGCCCAGAGGCCACACACCTCCAGAGATGACAGGCCTGTGTGGGGGCTGCATGTGAACACTGAAGCCCAGACCACACCCAGACCTCGGGACATGCCCACACAGCCCGCAGAAGGCTGCGACCGCCACAGCCCTGCCGGGAACTGAGAACCACGCCCACAGGCTCTGCCTTGCCCTCGGACCCAGACTCTAGCAGGAGGCAGCTTTTCTCCCTTCTCTGGGAAGAGCTTTCTCCCCACAGCTGAGCCTGTGCAGATGAGACAATGTGGTCTCTCAGACCCTTACCTAAGCCCTGCCGGGACCGCTGGCCTCGGAGGTGGGAAGCTGAGGCTCAGTGGTGTCCTCCGTTTACCTGTACAGTGAGGGTCCACCCCCAGCTTGGCTAAGCCCAAACAGCAGCACCGCCTCCCCTCTGCCCGGTCCCCCAGAGTCACACAGAAACAAAGTAAGGGTCTCCTCTGGTCATGCAGTCACCCCCTGTCCCGGCCCCGCCCGGAAAAAGGCAGAGGCCCCATCTGCAGGCCTGTGCCTGAGGCTGTCTGCCCATGGGCACCCCCGGGACGCAGGTCAGGGCTGGGTTCCTGCTGGGTGTTCTGCTTTCCCCTGAGTCCAGGAGGGTCCAGGGCACAGCTCAGGGGACGCTGCTTTCGACCTGTAGTCCGTGAGGGAAGCTCTGCAGTCTGTCTCCTGATGGGGACACTCAGAGGGCTACAGACACCACAGGAGAGGGAGTCCAGCAGAGGGCTCACTGTGGGGGCCTACCCACAAGCCTGGCTCGAAGCTGGGACCCCACCAGCATGTGGGCTGAACTCAGGAGACATGAGCACGTGATGGGTGCCCATGCTACACCCCCTGCTCTACCCTCCCCATCTCCCCGCCCACTGAGGCCCCTGACCCACCCTCGGGGCCCACCCCCTCCTCAGATCAGGGGGCAGGTGCCACGTCTCTGTAGTAATGGCCACTCCAGCCTCTGGCCTCGCTCACCCTATCCACGGTGCAGACCAGGGCTGTCCGTCCAACCACTCCTTGCCCCCACGCTGCCCTTCGTCTCTCTCGCTCTTGGCCTGTACATCCCTGAGTTCATGGTGCTAGTTCAGGACCATGCACATTGCTGGCCTCTGATCCTTGGACAGTAACCCCTGCCGATCCTTCCAAATGCAACTCAAATATCACATCTTCCAGGAAGCCTTCTCTGATAGCCCCGTCTGACAGAGATATCCCCTCCACTTAGAGTTGTTGCTCTTTCGTTTCTATTGCTTCAAACTCCCTGGAAATGAGGCCCTGGACCCAGGCAGGGCTTCTGTTGGTCTCGTATATGTGGCAACACCCAGGCTCCATGTTTGCAACAGCACAGACATTGGTGGACAGAGAAATGACTGCCCCACCCCCCATACCCAAAACTCCATGGCCCATGGGTCACAAGGAGAGGCCCAGCTCAGCTGCACGGGGACATGCCTGCCACACTTACCACACGTGCGTTACGCCCTCACAGTGACCCTCTCCACCCGAGTACCACTCACCACAAGCTGGCAGGGGCTCTGGGGACAGTTTCAGCCACAGCAGGGGAGAGGGTGAGTGGGAAGGGTGGTCAGCAGGCGTTGGGCCTGCCCCTGGCCTCTGAGCACTCTGGGATGCAGGAGCAGGGTGGGGGGGGAGGGGGGCCGACCGCAGCCCCTCCTCTGAAGGCCCCTGATCTATTTTCCAGAGTTCACACTGGCCCCTGGGAAACGCATCTCTAATTTTTTGTCATGATTTTTTTTTTTTAAGTTTTTGAACCACACTTGTCATGCTCAGGGTTAATTCTGGCTCTGCACTCAGGGGTCACTTCTCGTTGTGCTTAGGGACCCTACGGGTGCACAGGGATCAGACCCAGGTCAGCTGCATTCAGGGCAATCACCCATTCCCCTCCCCACCCCACCCCTGAGAAAGACCAGGCTCTGGTTTGGCTCTGTCTGGTCTGGGGGTGAACGGGCTGAGCTGGCATCTCTCTTTTCCACAGTGCCCCCTTTCCCAGGGGTGTGGGTGAGGCAGTGCCCCAGTGGCAGCTGGGCCCACCCTCCTCTGCCCACTCACCTTGAGATCAAAGTGGGCGATTTTCTTGCCATGGAGGTAGCTCACCCCGTCCAGGATCTGCTGGATGAAGCTTGTGGCCTCCTCCTCACTCAGCGACTCCTTCTGCGCCAGAAAGTCGAAGAGCTCCCCTCCAGACACCCTGTGAATAGGGGGTCCCGCCATCAGCAGGGCTCCTCCCCAGCCCGGGCTTCCCCTGCGGCCCCAACACCGTGGCCGCCCCGTGTCCAGCCAGCACCACAGACACTGTCCTGGCTGCCTTACGACTCTTGATGGCAGGCACAACTCCCAAGGTCACTGGGCAGTCAATGCTCGCCCTTCAGGCCCCTGTCCCAGTTACCCTGGGGGTCACCCACCTTGGATTACTCAGGTGGCAGAGTTGAGGGAGAAGCGCTAAGAGGTGGCGAAGATGAGCCAGACACAGGCCTCATCCCACGCCGCAACCGCCCAACGGCCACTACCTGCCCCAGGAAGAACTCCGCCTCCTTCCCTGCAAAACCAGCAGGTTGGGTTTGGGTCCCAAAACTTCAAGCTCTTGGGAATCTTGGGATGATGCTCAAGTAATTGAATTTTGATAAGGGGGCCCAGGGTGACACCCAGCAGTGCTGGTGGTGGGGAAACATAGGTGCTGGAGGGCATTAATAAAGATTAATTAATCGATCTGTATTATTTATTTATTTGGGCTGGAGCGATGGCACAGCGGTAGGGCATTTGCCTTGCGCACAGCCAGCCTGGCCGAGCCAGGTTAGATTCCTCCGCCCCTCTTGGAGAGCCTGGCAAGCTACCAAGAGTATTCAATATGCCAAACACAGTAACAAGAAGTCTCACAATGGAGACGTTACTGAAGCTCAGATAGAGAAGAGAGCACCAAATGAAGGGTGTTGTGAGGACCCACCCAGGGTGGGAGAAGCATGCTAAAAGTAGTCTATAGACCAAACATGATTGCCACTCAAAGCCTCTCTTGCAAAACACAGTACCCAAAAGAAGAGAGAGAGAACAAGGGGGAATACCCTGCCACAGAGGCAGGATGGGACGGGGGGGGGGGGGTGGGGGGTGAGGGGGATGCTGGGACCCGTGGTGATGGATGACGGGAACTGGTGGAGGGATGGGCACTTGATCATTGTATAACTGAAACCCAAGCACAAAATTTGTAAGCCTATAACTGTACCTCATGGTGTTTCACTAATAAAAAAAGAAAAAAAAAATAAAGCAACTCAATGTAAAAAAAAAAAAACAATGGAGACGTTACTGGGCCCGCTCGAGCAAATTGATGAACAACGGGAGGACAGTGACAGTGCGTATTATTTATTTATTTAATTTTAAAATTAATCAATTAAAATTAATAAAGAGCACTGAAGCTTTCTTGTCCACTTTCTTTAAAAATCCCAACAATTGAGGGGCTGGAGCAATAGCACAGTGGGTAGGGCATCTGTCTTGCATGCAGCCAACCCAGATTTGATTCCCAGCATCCCTATGGTCCCCCCAAGCACAACCAGGAGTAATTCCTGAGTGCAGAGCCAGGAGTAACCCCTGTGCATTGCCAGCTGTGACCCAAAAAGGAAAAAAAAAATCCCAACAACTGAAAACTCCAGGCCTCAAGGAGCCAGGAACAGGTCACCCCTTCTCATCTCCCCACCCTTCTGGGGGTCCTGGCTGTCACGCCCACAAACTGCCTCTGAGAGCCATTGAAGTACATTAACGGCCATGATCCAGATACTCACAACGAATCTCAGAACAGAGCAGCTTGCTGCAGAGACGTCTTACAATTTTAGAATTCCAGGAACAGCACGTGACATTGCATACTACCTTTTTATTTGTACTTTTTTGTTGAATCACTGTGAGGTAGACCCTTACAGGCATCTCAAAGTCTCCAATGGAGACGTTACTGGGCCCGCTCGAGCAAATCGATGATCAACGGGAGGGCCTTTACTTACTTACTATTCATAACAAGCAATACAAGATAATAATGGCAGTAAGAAGGTGTCAGGGTGGTAGGATCAGGGTTGAAATATTGAATGGAATCAATAATCGTGAACAATATTATGAAAATAAAACTTAAAAAATTAAAAATAAATACATGAATAAAAATACCCAACAGTTCCCCTGATGCCCCTCATAGACCTAAGCATCCTAAGAAAGAGAACAAGCGGATATGAGTGGCAGGAAGCTGAAATAAGGCATGGGAAGGATTGGGCCCCAGTGCCTGTCTCTGCCTCCGAGCCTCTTGGTCTCCAGAACTTCCCACAGCAGCTGCTAATCACAAGCAGGTGCCACACACAGGGACTGCTGGGAACTGGGACTACATCAGGACAACCAAGAATCTGATGTTTCGTTTTTTTCTTTTTTGCTTTTTGGGTCATACTCGGCGTTGCACAGGGGTTATTCCTGGCTCATGCACTTAGGAGTTATTCCTGGCGGTGCTCAGGGGATCCTATGGGATGCTGGGGTCGAACCCGGGTTAGCCGTGCGCAAGGCAAATGCCCTCCCTGCTGTACTATTGCTCCAGCCCCCAAGAACCTGATATTTTAATTTACTTTCATTTTAACTGACTAATTTAAAAAAAGAGAAATGGTGTGAAATATTCCCCACTCCTCACAGCTTTCTTGCTTCAGTTGGCTTACATTTCCTTGTTATTGCACTGAAGGTGGGCTGAGACATGCTCTAAGCATCAAAATACACACTGAGCTTGGAAGACTTGGTATGGAATAAAATAATAAAGATATCTCATTAATTTGGCATAAGATGCATGTTAAATGATATTGAAATATATTGAGTCAAGTAAAAATATTGTTAATTCCCCTATTTCTTTTTGCTTCTCAGTCATGCAACAACTAGAAAATCTAAAAGTGTGTACGTGGCTCATATTAATTCCCTTGAGTTAGGGTCAGTGACGCCTTTCAACTTGGCTGCCCGTTCACAAGGAATACGGGAAACAGAGGAACCAGTTAAAGAACAGCATGAAGAAGGACACGCTGAACTCAGACTGCACAACACCAAGGGGACAACGAGGGGCAAAAAGACAATCTATGGGACAAATGACCTCATTTTCCAACAAATCAATGGGTCACAAAGCAGAGGAAAGGAGAACCGTTAGAATAATTGCAGGGCAGGGACTTGGCTCAATGGTCAAATGCAAACTTTGGATGCAGGAGATCAGGGTTTGATCTGAGGGGGTGGGGAAGGGGAGAAGGGGATGGGAGGGCAACAAGGGAACCCAGCCAGTATGTGGGCTTCTTTGGGGTTCTACTCCAGCAGAACAACTGCCAGACACCATAGACCCAAAGCACAGCAACTTTAGAGTGTCAAGGCCTGACAAATTTTGTCCATTAAATCAACACATATTGGTGGTAGCTTTTTAAAACTGTCATCAGTTAAAGAAACATCAAGTATTTATGTGGAAAATGACTTTGAGCTTTACATTAAAACGTTTCAGCAAGGAATCATGAACTTTATACTACTGTAACATGTTACCTGGACTATAATAGAACAATTAAAAATATTTCAGCAAAGGAAGCAAAAACCAGAGTTGGGGATTCATACCAAATTTGGGAAAGCACTGACAGCGTGAAGGTGATGACCATGTAGGGAATCTTAGATTATGTTCTCATCCTTTGAGTCTACTTGGAATCTTCCAGAAGAAGAGGTCAAAGGTGCACATGCAGTGAGGGTCCAGCCCGCTGTGCACTGGCCACATCACGGGGGCCTTCTCTGCTGAGGCCCTCGGGGAGAGAATGGCCATGCCGGGTCTTCCAGCAAGGGACCCACTGTCCGGTACTGGCCAGTGCTGACAGGGAGTTGCCTGAACTCTCAGGCTTGGCTCCCAGATACTCAGTCCTGGGAATGAACGTCTACCCAGGGAGCGGGTACAGGCACTGGACACTGGCCAGAGCAGGGCCCCCTGCCTTCATCCTGGTGTGGGTGTCACCTGTGGTCAGGGCGGCAGTTCAAAGATGCTGGGCATGCAGTGAGCAGGGAGTAGGGCTAGAGGACTCAGGAACAAGGATGTGCCAGGACCCAGAGCCAGCCTGAGGTGGGGTCAACCTTGGGCACCCCTGAGGCTCGAGGGTGCAGTGCTGTTGGGTCTCATGGTGCGGGGTCCCGGGGCCACCCCAGTGAGGTCAGGGCCTTCCAGGGCTGCCCCCAGCAATACCTGGAGGACCCTGGGGTGCTGAGATTAAGGCTGTCAGTGCTCACCAGGCAGCGCTCACCAGGCGTGCCCCAACCACTCTGTTATCTCGAGGGCTGCATTCTGCTTTCCCTGACACAGTCTCTCTCATGGAGTCTCAACCCCACAGGGATTTCCCATTTCTTCCCGATCTCTATGAAGCCACATCAGTGCTGGCTGGTGTTCACGGGCGGGTCCTGGGACAAACCCAGGCTCTCACGGTGCCATGTGCCCTGCCACCTGAACCAGCCCTTCCGGCTACAGGTGAGGCACAGACCTGATGCCAAATCCCCTCTGCTCTGCCCCCCGTGCCTGCTCCTGCCGTGCCCAACACTGTCCCCCGCTCCCTAGGAGATGTGGCTCACGAGACCTGCCAGACCTGTCTCCGTGCTGACTTATGAGGGATGAGTCCAGGGCTGTGTGGACAGGATGCCAGACTCAGTCCTGGGGATGAGGGAGTACTGTGTGGGAGTCACTTCGGAGCACCACCACTGGAGGGGAGGAGTAAAATAAAGTGACGACAAAACTATTTTATAGTTAGGGAACTAAAATTGTACTTATAATGAGCCCCGAGTTAAAGCAAATGACTCAAGGCTGATGGGCTGCTGACGGGAACTATGACGGTCACTGACCATTCTGTGACCCAGCCACCTGTTATGGAAGTGAGGGCTTAGGGATCCCAAGAACGTTAGCCATGCCATAATCCCACTCCATGTATATATGTATAGCACTGTCCTCCCGTTGTTCATCGATTTGCTCGAGTGGGCATCAGTAATGTCTCCATTGTGAGACTTCTTGTTACTGTTTCTGGCATATCGAATACGCCACAGAGAGCTTGCCAGGCTCTGCCGTGCGGACGGGATACTCTCGGTCACTTGCTGGGCTTTCCGAGAGGGATGGAGGAATCGAACGCAGGTCGGTTGTGTGCAAGGCAAACACCCTACCTACTGTGCTATAGATTCTGAGTGCACACAGAACCAGGAGTAAGCCCTGAGCAACACTGTGCACAGCATATCTCTCTCTCTCTCTGTCTCTCTCTCTGTCTCTCTCTCTCTCTGTCTCTCTCTCTCTCTCTCTCTCTCTCTCTATATATATATATATATATATATATATAACAGCAAGTAGAAGTTTGCCTTTGTAGCTTCCACGTGGCCCATCCGGTTGGCCCAGGTTCGATTCCTTCGCCCCTCTTGGAGAGCCCGGCAAGCTACCGAGAGTATCTTGCCTACACGGCAAAGCCTGGCAAGCTCCCCATGGCATATTCGATCTGCCAAACACAGTAACAACAAGTCTCATGATGGTGATGTAGCTGGGCCCGCTCGAGCAAATTGCACAGTAATACAGTGATGGAGTAGGGTGATGGCATCGATTTGCATATATATTATGTGTATACTGGTGCAGTATATACATATATATGCAGATATATACATATGTGCATATATATATATATATATAGAGAGAGAGAGAGAGAGAGAGAGTGATATGCTGTACTCATGTTGCTCAGGCTTCCTCCTGGTCCTGTGTGCACTCAGATATCACTCCTGATGGGGCTCAGGTGACCGCATGGGTGCTGGCAATCACACCTGGCTTGGCTGTGTGTAAGGCACATGCCCCACTGGCTGAACCTTCGCTCCCACCTTCATCCCACTCCTGAGGATTCTTTTGAACGAATCAATACACAAGAAAAGGGGGTGGGGGATTCTGGGAGGAGAGTTGTCCTTTGCCCAACCACACATGTGATGGTTAAGAGCTCAGAAGTGAGGCAGGGCAGAGAGTGTGTGTGCGTGGGGTGGGGGGGGGGGGGGTCTGCCCTGCTGCCGCCAGCCCCGCCTGACCCCTACTCAGCATGTTCCTCCACACCTCTTGGTGGCAGCTCTGGGTGCTGCATGCAAGGCCCAGGACACTCCAGATGGCACAGCTGGGGCAGACACCATGGCCTAAGCCAGCACGGGCACCCGCCACCAGGAAGACCCCCTGAGCGCTGCTGGGGAGACCCACCCAGAAGGGGTGGGAAAGGAAGACCAAGAGCAGTAAAACACACGTGTCAAAGCCAGTGAAGAGAAAGAAAGCTACAAATGGAATTAGCTGGGGATGGCAGGGATGGCAGAAGCACAGGGTCATGGAGACCAGCACTGACCCTGCCCAGGGGCCAGAGGGAGGATAGACACAGGGTCACACCGACCAACACTGACCCTACCCTGAGGTCAGAAGGTGGACGTGGGGGCTGGAGCGATAGCACAGTGGGTAGGGCATTTGCCTTGCACACGGCCAACCTGGGCTCGAGTCCCAACATCCCATATGGTTCCCTGAGCATAGCCAGGGGTAATTCCTGAGTGCATGAGCCAGGAGTAACCCCTGAAGATCGCCGGGTGTGACCCAAAAATAAAAAAATAGAATAATAATAATAATAATAAAGAAAGTGGACATGGCCCCTTATGAACAGCCTAAAGCTTGTTTGCTTGTGTTTTCTCACAGATTTTTCTAGCATCTATGGGCATCACCCGGCCTTCCTGGGAAGGTGGGCTTTCTCATTCTTCATGATAAATCTGGGTGCCAACTACTGATGCCCACCCCGGGGCATGCTGCCCCTAAGCTGGCCACATTGATGGGGCTACATGCTGGCCTGGGAAGGCAGGTGGATGCACCAATGAACGTACTGGCCGAAGGTTCCCTGGAGAAGCAGGAGGCCTCGGGCGTGAGACGGGAGAGCACACATGGCCCATCCAGAGCCCTGTGGCCTGGCCAGCAGCCAGGGCCTCACTGGAGACCACACCCGATTGATGCCCCGCTGCGGGGAGTGCAGGGCTGCCCACCCACTCTCCACGTGCCACGTGAAACCCAGAGGAGAAAGAGACTCACCCAGGTACAAAGTCGGGGATCCAGAAACCAACCCCACCAGCCTTGGCTAACCTTCCTCCAAGATTCAGACGACTCTTGTTATGGGTTCTTGCTGTGTGAGTTAAACCAGCTGAAATCCCATTCTCAGCCGGACACACACACCCCTTCCCATTTCACAGAGACACTGTGATGGGTGCAGCCAGACTCCAGCAGCTGTGGAGTTGCCTGTGTGATCCCAGGAGGCGGCCTGTGAGCTGTGTGCATCCCGAGCCCCTCCTGGCCCCCACTTCTGCTGGAGGGCCTGTGAGTGGGCTGGTCCTCAGCACTTGGGCAGTGACTGTGTCCCAGGCTCGAACCCTCATCGTCTCTCTGAGCCTGAGCAGGGCGGCCGACAGGAAGCTGAGATGGGGTCTCAGCCCAGCTTTTGCAGCTGTGGCACATGACTCCGTCACAATATGGGGGTCAGGTAACCCACCAGAGGTCAAAGGCTTCTGAGTGACCGACCCTGGACCCTGGTTAGACAGAAATGCCGTGTGACTCTTGGGGGGGGGGGGCAGGCTGCAGTTCTCCGGCTCAACACGGTCACAGAGGAAACCATGAAGAAGGCCTGGCTTAAGTCATCTTTAGTCCTGTGACAACAAAGGAGTCGGACAGACCAAAGGTGCAGGGGATCCCTAGGGCAGGAGAAGACGCCGGGGCTGGGGCAGGGGGGCCCGTCTCGTTCTCCCCATGCTCAGGAGCCTGAGCCTCTGCTCCCTCCTCCCCCCCCAGTACCCAGACCTGGGCAGACTCAGACCATCCCCCTGACCCCCTGTCCTCCTCGGGGGGTGACCGGGCCCTGCCCCGTGGGCGCACTCACAGCTCCAGGATGAGCACCACGTCGCTGCGGGTCTCATACACGTCATGCAGCATGATGATGTGGGGGTGTAGCAGCTGCCGCAGGACACCCACCTCCCGCTCCACCTCCTCCCGGAGCACGCCCCGCCGGCTGGCCGGGCTCTGCCGCTTCTTGATGAACTTGGCTGCATACTCCTGCCCGCTGCTCTGCTCGCGGCACTTCTTCACCACGGCGAACTGGCCTCTGCGGGGACACAGACCGCTCAGTCGGGCTGCAGCTGGACAGCTGCCCAGAGCACTGACGCGGGGCCATCAGCCACCAGCCCGCGACTCCGCCGTCCTGTGTCCACTACGCCCCTGCTGTGCCCAATGCCCCCCGCTGCCCAATGCCCCCACTGTCCCCAATGTCCCCCATTGTCCCAATGTCCCCAATGCTTGCGCTGTCCCAAATATCTCCTACTATCCTTAATGCCCCTCCACTGTCCCCAATGCCCTCCACTGTCCCCGATGTTCCCAATGCCTCTGCTGACCCCAGTGTCCCCCGTGCCTTTGCTGTCCTGAATATTCCCTACTGTCTTAATGTCCCCCACTGTCCCCAACGTTCCCACTGTCCCAGTTTCCCCAATGCCTTTCCTGTCCCCGATGTCCCCCGCTGTCCCCAATGTCTCCCATGTCCCCCATTATTCCCAGTGCCCCTGCTGTCCCCTGCTCCCTTGCGTCTCGCCCCGCCATAACCCGTGATAGAGACGGGCGGGTGCAGGACTTCCAGCGCAGGAGAGAGAGCTGTCGGCCCAGAGAAGACCAGACACAGAACCCTCAATTCTCTCACTTTGGCGGGTGCCACAGCCCCTGGTCCTGAACCCACAACGAGTGTGGAGCCCCAGACGGAGCCGTGGCCCCTTGTTCCGAACCCTCAGCAAGTCTGGACTCCCCGACGAAGCCGTGGGCCCAGGTCTGAGCCCTAAGCAGCTGCAGCACCCTAGGCAGAGCTGCACTGCCAATCCTGCAGGCTCTGCAGAAGAGACGTGATGGAAAGGCCAGAGAGGTCAGAGAGACAGGACAGAAGGAAGGTGTGGCCTGCAACGGGCTGACCGGGGTTCCATCCCCGGCATTACAGATGGGAGCAGCAGCACAAAGTGTAGGAAACTGAGGCACAGGACAGGCCAGACGACTGCCTGAGTGTCTCAGAGCTGAGCACCAGCCACTGTCTCCAGAGCCATGAGGCCGTGAGGTCATGGCTGGCCGCAGGACTATGCTGGGGCCTCAGGGACAAGCCCAAGTGGCCTCTATCTTGGGAACTGAGGCAGCAGCTAGGAAAGGCAGCCTTGGGAGACCCCAGGACCCTCCAGCAGCAGACTCCGTGATACCCTCTCAGCTCACTGACTGGATGTCTACACCCCTGGGACCCCCCCATGCCCCTCCAGACCTCCCCCTGCAATGTGCCCACTTCTCTTCCACATGACTTCAGGCGTTCTTGCCCCAACACCTCCTGCTCAAGACAGTCTGTTTGGGCTCAGATGCTTTGAATCAAGCACTGTAGAGAGAGCTGAAGGGGTTGATCACGTGCTTTGCATACAGGACGACCCTTAAGCACAGCTGGAGTGACCCTTGAGCACTGGGCCAGGAGTAATCCCTGAGCACTATCAGGTGTGACCCAGGAACCAGAGAGAAAGAGAGATGGTGGAGGGAGGTGGGGGTATGGGGGGGCCACACCTGGGGTGCTAGAGTTCCTCCCAGGTCTGTGCCTGGGGTTTGTACCGGGGTGGTCTCCACCACCTGGGGCAGGACCGCTCTGTGCAGGGCAGGAGCTCTCGCCCTGTGGGCCGCCTGGTCCCTGGGGCCCCATCAGAGTCACTCTGTGAGGAGGGGATCCTAGTGTGACAGACTCCCCAACCCATCGAAGCCACAAGAAACAGGCAGCGAGGGTCAAGTGTGCCGACACTTAGCCAGCCTGAGCTCTGATGACATCTCGGGCTCTCTCTGCTCCCGTCCTCCCTGAAGTGCTCCCCATGTTCCTGGGTGCTGGCTCTGCACCAGGCAGAGGCAGGGCTGGACCAACGCTGGACACCAGATAGGCACGAAAGGGAGGAGGCACTGGACGGACTGGCACGGCCAAGCTGGGCTTTGCAGAAACAACTTTATAGTGACTTGTCCGGCCACTCTTCAACTTGCAAGTCTCAGCTATTTAGGCTCCAAACACTACCCTGGGCGTGCACAGCCCAGACTGACGCAGACGGGGTGAAGCCAGGCTTCCTGGAGCCAGGAACACAGCTGGCGAGGTCAACACAGCAGGCCACTTGGAGCCACTTGGGGCCTCAGGGACAGCGGGTCCCTGTGTGGATGCCAAGGAGCACTTGACAAGGCTCCTGCCCAGAAGGCTGCAGGTCTCGGCTAAGGGCGGCTTATCTTCTCTCACGGATACAGCCTGGCAGACACGCGGGCTCCCTCCAACTCACCGATGGGGACCAAGGCTTAAGAACACAAGAAAATTGCTTATGCTTAAAGGGCCCAGTAGTGGCTGTGGGAACGCCTCCCTGGGGCACCCTGACATCACTTCCTGTCTCCCGAAGGGAGCAGGCACTTCCTCTCACATACCTAGAACATTTCCAAGCTCTCAGGGAGCACAAGTGTTTGCTCTGGGAGCCACTGGGCAGCCAGGGAGCAGGAGTCGCCCCTCCAGATGGGGCTCACCTGATGACAGCAAAACCTCCTGGCCTCAGCAACCCAGAGCAGCTGGGGGCAATGCCGGGAGTCTCTAACAGGCTGGTCGGGGGCAGCCCACAGGCCAAGGGGCGAGAGAGGTCTTGGGGAGTGGCCAGTCCCTGCCCTGAGCTCTGCATCCTTCTCAGACTTGTGCTCTCGTCCTTGGGATCTGCTGGGGGGAGGGGGCTTCCCCTCCCCCCAGCAGGGACTCTGCCTGAGCACTTGAAGCTGGGCTCAAGGTTCACTTGCAAACTGGAACAGGGTAGGGGCCGCGGACAGTGGCAGGGAGGTCGGCAGTCGGCTGCCCACTGCAGGCACGGAAACTCAAGACACTGGGCGCTGGCAGACCCACTGCCTGTGGAAGCTTCAATACCCGGCACCCAGGCTCCAGGTGGGCACAGCACAGAGCTCGGGGCATGATGGTGGCAGGAGTGGATAGCAGCAGCTGCTCTCGGCGGGGACAGCCACCGGGGCACCCACGGAGGGAGCAGAGAACACCAGTGACGTGCTGGTGAGGATTGGAGTGGTAGCACAGGATATAGGCGCCTGCCTTGCACGCAACTGGGCAAGATTCAGTCCCCAGCACCCCAGATGGTCCTCCGAGCCCCACCGGGAGTGACTGCCGAGTGCAGAGCCGGGAGTAACCCTGAGCACCACAGGTGTGGCCCCGAAACAAACCAAACCAGTGCTAATGAAGACTGGGACTGACACTGACTCGGAAATCCTGGCAGTTTCTGGCCAGAGAGACGGCACTGGGTAAAGCGTCTGCCTGGCATACAGCCCACCCAGGTCTGACCCCTAGCACCCAGCATATGGTGCCTTGAGCAGGGGAGCAAGGCCTGAGCATCACTAGGCATGGCGCTCCCCCTGCCTCCACCCAGTTCTCCGAAAGGATCACGGTGGCAGCTTCTAGTATCTTTGCCTGCAGGACACTAGGTCCCCATCAGGGCCCGGGACCACTCAGGCTGGTGGTAGGAGGCCACATTCTCTGTCCTGAGCTGCCATCAGAGCTTCATGGTAGGGCTGGGGGACAGGCTCAGGCACAGAGGATCCCAATGGAGCCCAGAGGTGGCCTGAGTCCATCCTCAAGTCAGATGGCCCGCCTGAGAGTGGGTGGCGTGCCCTGTGCACTGCTGGGGCACGCCTAGATTCTGTTTTTGTTGTTGTTCGATGATGTTCTTGGTTAGTTCATTGGGGGCCACGTGCAGCTGTGTTCTCATCCCTCCTGGCAGTGCTCAGGGAAATGTGTGGGTTCCAACCAGGGATGGAACCCAGGGTCCCCTCGCACACCCAGGGTACGTGCTCTACCCTCACACACGCACACACACTCCCAGTCTGAGCCTTTATGTTCTAAGCTTCGGGGACAGGAGCTGTTCTCTGGGTTGCCGCCTAAGGGCTGGCTCCCAGGCATGGCCGTGGGACAGGACGCATCTCCCTCCCCTTCCCGTCCCTCCTGAGGTGCCAGAGACAAGCGCCACCCAGACAGTCCCCACACGCCCCAGCACAGCCGAGGTCCCTGTGGAGCAGAGACTAGGGGCCTGGCTGCCCACCCCTCTCTCCAGGCCGTCTGAGCTTGCTGCAGAAGTCACGTAGGACGGATTAGGGAGGGACAGCAAAGGCATGAGAGAGACACTTGCCACCTCCCGCCCGGGCCCCACCCTCGCCCGCTCCTCAATCACTCAGCACTCCCAGGACATGCATGGCCGCGTGGAGTCTAGTGCCAAATCCTTGCCAGAACTCGGGGGGGGGGGTGGGGAGGGGGCCGGGGCACCCCAGGTCTCCTGTGATGTACCTCGGAATCAGGAGCAAAAAGCAGCAAATTTAGAACAGCTTCGAGACACCCACACGGTGTTGGTGTCTGAGTTCGTGGGGGCACCTGGCTGACTCGCCCCAAGTTCTCAGGGCCCAGGGGACTAACCAGCAAGACCCCAATCTTCCCCATGGTACAGTTTGGGGCAATAACATGAACAGAACACCAACATGTTGCTTTTCACTTTTTGAGCAACTACTCTCCGTGTTTCCCTTTTTAATGCTTGTGGGTATTAAAACCAGGAAAAAGATCAATATTGGTTAAGGACAACTGACCTTCACCCAAAATCTAAAGGCCAGGAGAGTCTGTCCTCAGTTTACCCTCTCCCCGAAGGCTTGCAGGCACAGTGGTGTAGGAGCGGCAGTGTACAGACATGGGTTATGGGGGCCACAGCAGGCAGACACAGCAATGCACGGGCAGTCGTGTCCAGACAGAGATCCGTAGGCTGTAGCTTGCACACACGGAGACGCACAAGCCGTGGCAGCACGGATTCACTCAGACAGTGGCGTGAAAACGGCAAGTGGATTCCATGGCATTTAGACATGGCATCGTGGGGCAATCCTCCTGGAGTGCCCTCCCCCTAAGCCCTAAGTTGTCCTCCGCTAGGGTCTGAGATAGGACGAGGTACCCCAGGAGACCACCCTCAGGGCCTCTCTCTCTGTCTGCTGGTCTGCAGCCAGCCTTGCTGAGAGCTTCCCGCTGGCTCTACAGAAGCTGCTTCTTAGATTTGG